AGTAAAGAATCTGATGCCGAAGTGATAAATGCTCTGTAGTTCTATACTGCGTCATGTACATCTGAAAGAAGTATGTTTTATCACCAGGCTATCTGTGAAAAGTTTCTTGCACTGACACAAGATATAAGGGGAAAAGGGACAAAAAAAAATCCCATTTACTTTTATAGTAGTATTCTTTTACAGACACTATATCGCTGTTTCTTTCATTGTGTCGCTTCTTGTCTCCCCAAGCATCCCAAATGCTTGCTTTTCTGCAAACACTGAAACACCTTCCTTCCTTTCAGCAGGGAGCAGCAGCCTTGTATGCTTTGTTGTGATTTTCATCTGTGTTCAGTGTGTGTGTGTGTGAGACGGAGCAAGAAAGACAGACAGAGAGAGATTCTGGAGGCACCGTCTGTCCTGTGACCTGGACATAATGTGGACCCCGAGGACTGCAGTTTTGGGAGCTGCCGATGGAGATTACACTACACAAATGTGAAAACATGAACACATGACACACATGCAGCCACAAACACATTCCCTAAACCTTCTCTTGTACATCATAAAGAAAAAAAAATCTGATAATCTCTGCAAAAATCTGGCACAAGCATCAGCCTTCTAAGGTGGAGAGCACTACAAGATGACAAGGAACTAGTGATGATTCATAATTTAGGGTTAATGGCCTTAAAAGACTTAATATCTTTAACTGTTGTCTTTGGTGAAAGATCAATGTATAATACATGGAATAATACAAGTGGATGAGGTCTTTATCAGTGACTTGATATGATTTCAGAGATTAGTCCACTTTCCCATGCTCATCTGTGATCATGAGCTCGATGGAGTGAATGTGACCACAGAACCTGAATGAGCTTCAGCTGCAGGTTATCTTGGGTCGCCTTCTGGACAAGCTTGCTGCCACCACCTACAGACTGAGGTATGAAGATTGGATGGTTGGCACATTTATACCATCACACCTATAATTAAGTGCATAGTTTCCTATATGGCCTAGACCCTAGGGCAATCAGTAAAAAAAGCAACAATAAGACAAGTTCTTCCTTCTGAGGCAATGTAAACAAATTGGTTTTGTCAAAGCCAAACAAACTTGAGCAGTAACACAACACAACCTCACAAGTTCTTAAACGACCTTCCAGCTCTCTATTTATTCCTTCTGCTGCCTCCATCTGCTCATTGTTCCATTGATTCCACTCGATTACTCTCATCTCACACCCTCTCTTCTTCCATCTTCCTATTTTGAACACTTAAATCATCGTTCATTTTCCTGGGAGGAGGAGTGACGCGGACTGGCAGGACTTTTATCTGAAAAGCAGCTATAAATAACCAGTTGGAAGGACGAAGGAGATGGAGAGGGACGGGAGTGAAAGAAGGAGAGGAACAGAGAGAGAGTGGGAGTTAAAATAGACCAGTTGTGGGCTGTACAAATATTTGGTTGGCTGAGGGCATTTGGGTAGAAAGAAATCAAAGACAAAGTGAGGCTGACGCAGGATGGAGAGCAGAGTGCTGCTGAATCCAAAGCAGGCGAGGAGACAGGAGGCATTTTATAAAATGTGTGAACAAAAACAAAAACAAGCGCTTCTGATCACTCAGAGATGTCCTCTGATACTAAAAAAGCAGTGCAGATGTTTGCTTATTTTTGTGGATTCAGGACTTTTGTATTTGCTCATAATGCATATTGAGGTGAGATCACTTTTATAAGCCTCTCAGGGTTTTTTTAATCTCACCCGCACAATTCTTTTTTGTTGTTACGTTTTGGCTGCTCTGTTTTATTGTCCAAAAATGAAATGAAAAATAAATAAATAAATGCAGACCAGAATTACAATAACTTACACACCGACTTGTGGGAGAAGGACTTATTTTCTCAACTGTCTACGTGCACACCACCTTTTGTTTGGTCTGGTTTGAAATCCAGGGACAGACAGCCGGTGTGTCAGGAGTTCATCCAATCAGGTGCAGCCAACGTGCAGCCTACGTGCAGCCTGTAACGGCTTCCTTCCGTCTATGATGACATTACCCTAGTCCCAAGACTATCAGGCGTTCAATGTTGGGAAATGTGATCTCTTGTATTGAAAATCGTCCCTGTGGACACGTACCATTAGTGGCTGTGATGGCTGAGAGGCCTGGTGTTACTGCTGTGGGGACTCAAGCTAAAAGACATCCAAAGATTTCTCAAACCTTTAAACTACTCTTCTTTGTAGGGCTGTCCTTTAACAGTTGGCCAAATGTTAGTTGATAGGGGGAGTCAGGGATTCCACTGGAAAGTTGTGAGGCCCGGCAGCTGGGACGGGCTCAGTTGGGGCCCTGGAACATGTATGCAGCACGGTTTCACCAGAGAGGGCAGGGGAAGAGACAGACAGGGCTGGTAAAAACTTTACAAATATTGTGAAGGTCCAACTGATCATTGATGCAGCAACCAATTGTCGTTTTTGACAGGGGGCAAGGATGACGTGCTCATCACCTGCACTTTGCCAGTGTTGCTGCAGCTGACTGCATGCGCTTGCAATATTTATTTTTGAAAAGCTCATTATTAGCTACAGTTTTGTATTTCTCCGCAATGTAACACAGTCCTAGCAATATCTGCACGCTCATAACACTCTCTCAGCCCTGGGACTCAGATCATTTTCTGAAGTCCCCAAAAACACGTTTATTTAGATAATAACTTAAATTCCAGAAATATGCGACGACTAATCAAATCAAGACTTGTAGTAACGACTACTGCTTGACTAGAAAAATCTTTGAAAACCTCTTTCTTTGTCATCACCCTGGCCTCTGTTCATCTTGGGGCGGCTGTGGCTCAGGTGGTAAAACGGGTTGTCTACTGATGGCAAGGTTGGCAGTTCGATCCCCGGTCCCCCCCGACATGCCGAAGTGTCCTTGGGCAAGACACTGAACCCCAAGTTGCTCCCAATGGCAGATCAGCGCCTTGCATGGCAGCTCTGTCACCATTAGTGTGTGATTGTGTGTGTGAATGGGTGAATGCGAAACACATTGTAAAGTGCCTCGGGTACCGCTAAGGTAGAAAAAGGCGCTATATATGTGCAGACCATCTTTTCATTCCTTCCCTCTACCCCCTCGTCTTTTTTCATATGCTGATGAGTGATTTTAAATGTTACTGTTGGGCTCAGATTGGGAAAGAGTTCTGCAATAATGTCCATGGCCCAGTACAGGATTACAATGATCAGGCTTAAAAAATGAGAAGGAAATTGAAAAAGAAAGGGGAGAAGAGAGAAGCTGTAGCTTGTGTGATTAGAGCTAGTGAGACATAAGTCATTTCTAGATGAGGGTGACTGCAAAGAGTTAAGCCTGACAGGACTTACTGGTGATTATAGAGAGCCTAGACGAGAAAGTAGGGTTCAGATGTATATGTGTGTGTAAGTCTTTTGAAGCTTACCCAACATCTTACTATTTCTAACACAACAAACACACTCACACACACATACAGTGCAATCAGTATGCACAGACAATCACAGCCCTGACCCCTTCAGCTATCTTATCTTTATCTTTGAGGCCAGATAATCCACATCAGTCCATCAACAGACACATACGTCCTATTCCCAGTGCTTATGGTTGTTGCGTCGTGGCACATGCTGTAGTGATTTTTTTAAGGGGTGGCTTATCAGTCGCCATGTCTGTGAGCAGAAGAACACACTCACCTTAGCTGTCTTCCCTCACAGTCTGTGCTCTTGCAGACCCGATAGTAATCACTTCATTACAATACAATGTCACATATTCCTGTTGCTCAGTGCTAATCATTTCAACTGTGTATCCTGTATCGAAGGGCAGTTGTGCATTGTGTTATAAACATCAAGATATCAGCAAATTCAAATCACATATTTATGCATAATTGTATTTCAGCTAATCTCTCATGATTTATTAACAAGAAAACTCAATGAATCTACTAAAGTTCGACTATACTTTGATTATAGTACCAATGTGTGGGTATGGGGATTGTAGCTGTTCTTGAAGTGTTGAAATCTTAAACAGACAAAGATGAAATGCTTATTTTCCTAAAAAAAAAAAAAAATACTGTAGTTTCATCAGTATTAAAATACATAGCCCAACTTAGTTTCATTTACTTTAATAATACTTTATTACTCCTGCCCTCCACCCTCTGCTCTTGCAGTTTGATGACTGACCAGTATGTCAGAGTAAATTGCTTTTACTTTGCAAAAAAGGAACCAATCAGCAAAAACATACAATAATTAATGAGGCTACTGTGAGACTTTTTTTTCCTTTTTTTTTTTTTTTTTTTACCAGCAAGAGAAAATGTCATTGCAAGTACAGTAATTTCACAGTAATTAAATGAGTAAATGCATCTTCTTTATGGCGTCTTTAAAAAATGAAAGAAAAAATTCCACATCATAAAGCTAAACAGATTTACATAAGCCATTTAACTATGCATCTTGAGTTATTAGGTTCCAATCAATTCTGTCTTGTGTGTCGCTGGAATACTATAGTTAGTATAATCTCATCAAAATGTGGAATGTTACATGACAAATTCAAATCTGGTTCACAAATGAAGCAAGAGTCCATGAGAATCGGGAGGCTATGGATTTGCATGAAATCTATGGTTATGGAGGCATTCATTTCTGGAAACTAGATTAATGATTAGTTTGGATGTAAATGTGTGCTACATACCGTATGTAGCCCCTGCATCTACACATCCTGAAAATGTGTGCCACTGATCATGAAGTGAGCTGTAGCACTAAAACATGACCTGTACTAGGGTAGTAGGGGTTCAGGGCTGTACTTGACAGGATTCCAAGGGATCCCCTGCCAAGTAAGGATTATTTTAACCTTATCAGTATTTCATTAAATTGCTAGAAATCATCGTAAATGATGAATAAAGGATCTTGGAGAAACTTGACAAAGACAAAGGCATATCTGACCAAAGCATTTTTTTTTTTTTTTTATAGCACCACATCACACCACCAACCAAGTCTGCATTGTAAGACCTCAGAGACAAAGTCTTAATACATGAAGCTTGGATGTGTTTTTTCTCTTACCTGCCACTGGTGTTGCGAAGGACCACAAGGGCATCAGGGAAGCCATCCAGGTTGTAGTCACCGAGGTGCAGGGCCAAGGGTTGGCTGGGGTTCCCTTGCACAAAGCTCCAAACTGTTTCCCTCTGCTGGAAATCTGACAGGACTTTGACCCACTGAAAATACAGAACCACGAAAAATAGACATCAATAAAATGCAAAAATTGTAAAGACAAAAGTAAGTAGAAACAAAGAACAAAAAAAAAAGACTAGTCAATGGTTTTTCATGTAAAATACAAAAAGTCAAGAAGACAAGAAATTTTTTAGCTTTATAAATAGTTTAAAGCAAACGAACACCATCCTGCCTCACAGGTCCACAAACAATACTCTTGACTCCATTACTTGGTTTTTCACTCCGACATTCACCATCAACCACAAGAGCTTATATAGACAAGTATGTGCCTTTCCTCATTCTGTCTAATGAATTCAGAAAGGCACAGGCAGACTCCAATCAAGTTGATGTAGAATCTCAAGCACCTTTGGGAGAAGTAGGATAAACCATAGGGGTGGCTGTGATAACAAAGGGTCTAAATACTGTAAAAAGCAAAAAACAAAAACAAACACACAAAAAAGAAATTTTAGTCATTAAAAAAAAAAACAAAAAAACAAAAAAAACAACAACAAAAAAAACCCCCACTCCAAATACCTATTTTGGGTTATTCATTGTGGAGTATTATGTGCAGAGTGATGAGAAAGTTTCATCCATTTCAAGGGGAGTCTGAAACATGACAAAATATGAAAAACTTCAAAGGTCTTTACTAAGATAGTCTCATACTGCCTAGTATGAGTAGCACTTTCATTACAAAAAATATTCCAAAATGAGTTTCTCTGAAACTTTTAACATTAAACTAAAAAAAATATGACTGATGTTCAATCCTAGATTGCCCAGTAAACAGCAGTTTCTCGCTTTTGAATTCGCCTACAGTGCCCTGAGTGCATACATACTTGTACTTCATAATAATTTTAAGAACGACATTTACCTAGGAGGTAAAAAGCTAATTTATTGGCTGAGCTTGTTCAAAATTCAATTCAAAGGGCTTTATTGTCATTTCAACCACATACAGCTGTACAGTACAACATGAAATGAGACAGCGTTTCCCAGATCCAGAGCTAAGGTGTGAGTGCAAAGAATGCAGTGCAAAAAGATAATTTGTAAATTCTCAGTTTAGCAACTCTTTTTGGTTCAGTGTATTGTCCCAAAATGGGAGAGAAACAGCCTGATTCACACGAATAACAAAACAAAATTGTCATTTGGCCCAGTAATAACTTGGACAGAGCAGGTTTTCAGAATCAGGTGCCATGTGTGCTTGTAGCCTGCAGCCTCTTCTTTAATGCCTTTGTCTTTACTCATCAGACACAGGGACTAAAATAGACATCGCACCCTTTTACTAAACACTAAGATAAAGATAAAGATAAAGATAAAGATAACTTTATTGATCCCACAGTGGGGAAAGTTCACTGTTACAACAGCTCCAAAAAAAGTGTACAGTCAGTGCAAGAATAATTGGGAACACCCAGTGCAAAATGGAGGAAAGAAACAGAAAACAGAAAACACACAGTGCAGAAATTGCAAGAGAAAAAAACATTATATACAGAAGATGTGTTTTTTTTTTTTTTTTTTTTTAAAGAAGACTATATACACAAGGATGAGATAGTCATGGTTATTGCACATAATGGAATGTGTTTGTTGATGGAAAAAAAGAAAAAGTGCAGCAGTAACAGAGGTACCAGTGGAGTCTATAGTGCAGCGTTGTAAAGTCCGACTGTTGTTGGGATGAAAGACCTGTGGAAACGTTCCTTCTTACACTATGGGTGAAGCAGTCTGTCGCTGAATGCACTGCGTAAGGATTTCACAGTCTGATGCAGAGGGTGGGAGGTGTTTCCTAAGATGGCAGACAGTTTGGCCAGTGCCCTCTTCTCTCCCACCACCTCAATGGAGTCCAGGGGGCAGCCACAGACTGAGCTGGCTCTTTTTATCAGTCTGTTGAGTCTGCTCTTATCCCGCTCAGAGCACCCCCCTCCCCAGCACACTACTGCATAAGAGACCACTGATGCCACCACAGTCTCATAGAAGGTCCTCAGCAGTGGCCTGCACACACCAAAAGAAGCAAGTCTCCTCGGCAGGTATAAGCGACACTGACCCTTCTTATACAGAGAGTCAGTGTTGTCTGTCCAGTCCAGTTTGTTGTTTGTTAACAAGGCCTTCCTCATTTGACTGTGAAATGTCAGAGTCATAAAGCCCTAAGGGGGTCCGTCATATTATATTGCTACTGATATTTATAGAGGAAAACAGTCTATCTAAAGATGTACATGTAGTAAACCATCAGCACGCCAGAGGCAGCCCTTAGAAGGCTGTGCAGAGACCATTATTACCTTTCACCTAACATGAATGCTATTTCACTTAGTAGCGGCCTCATTTCTCTAACACACTAGCAGTGGTTTGAGCCTTAACTCCCCATTTATGTCATAACATATTTCTCCACCTATTCTGTCTCTTACAATACCAAATGTTGCCTGCAAAAGAAAAAAAGAGCCATTGCTTTTCATATTGCAGATGAAAGGTTTATTGTAATTGCCCCAGAATTATCACTGAAATAATTTTGACAAAGTTTTGACCAGTGATGGGCATGCTGGTCTCACTGCTTTCATTAGTGCCATTACAATAAGTTGTTAGCCAGTGGACCCCTGTCAATTACATATAATACAGGAGAGGGAAGTGTTATAAGAAGAACAAGAGAGACGATTATCATCCCTAATTGTCACTTTTACACATGGCTAGTCATAAGTAGCATGCACAGTATCATCATACACAATACATGTGTTTGACTGGTGTGCCATATGAACCATAAAATACAGGGCTTATTAAGGTCCACAACAAAAGACCTTGTGAAGATGCTGGAGGAAACAGATACAATCGTGTCTATATCTACACAGTTTGCAACTGCAAATGGTTACAAAGATCTGACCAAAAAATGTCCTCTGGTCTGATAAAACAAAAATGAAACTGTTTGGCCATAATCACCATCATTGTTTGAAGAGCAACAAGGGTGAGGCTTGCAAGTTGAAGACCATTCCAACCATGAAGCATGGTGGTGTCAGCAGCATGTTGTGAGGGTACATTGTGACAAAGAATGATGCACTTTACAAAACAGGTACTATCACAAGGAAGGAAAATCAAGAGGATATATAGAAGCACCATCTGAAGACATCAGACAGGAAGCTCAGTTGTACATGGATTTTCCAAATGGAAGATGAGTCCAAGCATACTTCTAAAGTTATGTCAAAATAGCCTAAGAACAACAAAGTTGCTATAGGCGTCGACATTGCCTAGTCCTGACCTGAATTCAATTAACATGTAATGCGTTATGAGAAGTTTGTGGAGGGCTACCTGAAATGTATGAGCCACGTAAACAATTTAGACACAGATTCCAAATCATTACAAAGTGTACATAAACGTCTGACCCACTAAGAGAGTGTTGAATAAAATCAAATCAGAACTGAATCATGCTCTCCACTATCATTCTGACATTTGCATTCCTAAAAAGAAATAAATATCAGAAGATGTTTTTAGTTATGTTGTTTGTAAACTGTAGAAAAATATAACAATGGCTGCATTTTTAGTGTCATTGCCTTGAAATGTTTATTTTCTATCAGGAGAGTGACACTGGGTGTGGGAAACTGGAAACAATTCAATTCACACCGAAACTGTGAAAACCATCAGACAGCACTGAAATATACATTATAATTGCCCTAAACTACACTAAATGGCCAGTTAACATCAATTATGTGTGGATCCTAGAGACGCATAGGACCAGATGCTGGAGGTTTTAACTATTCATGAATGTTAAACAGAGAGAGCAGGTGCAGGAGAGAGTCATCAGAGAGACACTCACCAGATCTGCTACGAATAGCTCTTAACACAACCAGCACATCTGAGAAAGACAATCACAGCCTACTGCTGTCACACAAGTCATGATGTCACTGATGCAGGTTTCCTCCTTTCCAGTTTTGAAGAAACACAGGTCCTGAGGTGGGGGTAGCACACTCTGCCCTGTTTGCAGGGGTGGCAGGTGTAGTCGTTGGTGTAGGCAATGTTCTATAAAGTGATGCCTCATTGGGTACTTGCCAAATGAGCATGACCAATTTCCTCAGCAGCAAGCAGCTTGGAATAGGATTTCTTTGCTTCTGATCTTTAATAATAACATAACTAGAGATTGTTTCACAATGGCAAACACACTTTTTCTGGCCTCAACTTGTTTAGGCTGATAATTTGTGGTTGCCAACTTTACAAAACATTACTGATTCTTCGTGTCTGATTAAAACTTCTTCAGTATGGTGGTTTAATGCAACATAATTGGATAAAATTAAATCTGTGAGCCAAAACAATATATTACTGTTGTTCCCATTCACATTCATCTTTTGGGAAAACAGCAAAACTGAGATAATTTGTCTGTTTTTGTTCGCTTCATCACTTTTGGTTTGGCTCAGTCAGCAAATGTAAAGAAACTGTTTATACTAGCTTATAAATTACATTAATCATGTAATACCACAAAGGCCTGATTGAATGGTACATGGATGGTTGTCCTTTTGTAAGGTTTTCTCAGTGACCACTAGGTTGTGGGTTGACTGCCTGACTGACAGCTGTAGTCCCCAGTTAGTCAGTTTGAAAATGATTTTCTTTAAACATTTTTTTTTTCGCCTTTATTGATAGAGCAGTGAAAGATAGACAGGAAAGTGGGGAGAAGAATGGGGAGAGAAGTCGAACCATGGTGGCTGTGTTGGGAAGCTAAAACCCTGTTTATGAGGTGCTGTCTTGTCCGGTTGAGCTACCGGGGTGCCCCCAAATTAGTCAGTCAGTTTAACTGGGCAGCCAGAATGACGAAAACTGTTGCTGGTTCCAAACTTCTTCCATTTAAGAATGATGGAGGCGATCATGCTGTGGGGCACTTTCAATGATGCAGAAATGTTTTTGTATGCTTCCCCAGATCTGTACCCTGACACAATCCTGTCTCACAAGTCGACAGACAATTCTGTTCTCATGGCTTGGTTGTCACTCTCATGACATACACCATCAACTGTGAGACCTAATACCAAGCACATGTGCCTTTCCTTATTAT